CAGATTCCATGACTGCAGCCACCGAGAGGCTCCCTAGGATCTACATATGAAGTGCGAGCTCCAGTTCAACAAACAATAAGCAGGAGCGCAACCATGCCGATACACTAGAGATCAACAAATCATTATCAATCTCTGCCTAAGCAAATTGATCAGGGTGTCCAATTGAGTTTGTAACAATACAGAAGCAGAGTGCAATTGCCGTTGTGGCCATCATCACCGTTTTAAACCGTCTTTACTACTTAATCTGTCTATTTAACCGGCCAGAAGGGGATCCGCAGGGATCATCGGGATGCTAGTATGGAATTCAAGGCAAGATAGACGCCATGTACAGAGCTCTAAGGGATTCTCTTCATTAGACTTACCGGCAGACAGTACAGCAACTGGAACACGGATCTCAGTGAAGCTGATCCGGAGTACAGTCGTCCATCATTACCGCATTCTCCGAGGAGCACCAGAATCTTCAAGTCAGCTGGATAGACCTTATCAATGTCTTCCAATTGCATTACTGCCACTGAGTATTTTTATTATTATCGTCTTCTCCAAGTCTAGAACGCACTAGATTACCAAGAAGACCAGGCAATGCAGACAAGATTATTGCGGAATTGTAATTCCACCTTGGGAGTGTCCAGATGATCATAGGAGGTTTCGACAGCATTCAAACCCTCATGAACAATGATTTGGTAAACATAAGTGAGTATGATAGATTTTATTACTCACAGATATATAATCATTTTCCAGAATATTATCTATCCTTCCATCACTCCTGGTCAGTAGTAGTATCTTGTCGGATAAATTCAGCGCTGGTCCCTCCTGCCCCACGTCAGCCCCTCCAAGCGGACCCCAGCAGGCCGATTGACGACATACTCCCTTCCTAGTACCTTAGGTAGTACCAGCGCATAGCCATAGCTATCGTAACAGGTTCCAAGCAGGCTAGCTGTTTTTCCCGGCCTTCATCATCGCCCTCTCTGCTTCCCGCTTCTAGAATTTCATCTACTCCCTTCCTCTCCTCCGTCTATCCATACCCTCAGACACAATCTGAACTCCTCGCATACCTCTCTCCTCCTTTAGGTACGAGATTTATTTCATTGCGCGCGAATTCTGAATCTGCTGCATTCCCCTTATTAATACCCCTCTACCTCTTGCCCCGCACTGACGCAAGAGCTCTCTTATTACAGATCAACAACCTACATAGCTGTCACAATGCCTGGTTTTTCGCAGGCCACAGAACTCGGTGCCTGGAAGGAGCTCCAGGAGCACCACAACTCCCTCGGACGTAACATTGTCCTCAAGGAATACTTTGAGAAGGACCCCCAGCGCTTCGAGAAGTTCAGCCGTACCTTCGCCAACCCGGTTGACAACACCGAGATCCTCTTCGACTTCTCCAAGAACTTCCTCACTGAGGAGACCCTTGCCCTCCTGGTGAAGCTCGCCAGAGAAGCCGGTGTTGAGGAACTCCGCGATGCTATGTTCAAGGGCGAGCCCATCAACTTCACCGAGAACCGTGCGGTTTACCACGTTGCTCTGCGCAATGTCACCAACGAGCCCATGCAGGTCAACGGCAAGAGCGTCGTTGAGGATGTCAACTCCGTGCTTGAGCACATGAAGGAGTTTACGGAGCAGGTTAGAAGCGGTGAATGGAAGGGTTACACAGGCAAGAAGATCAAGACAATCGTCAACATTGGTATCGGTGGTTCGGATCTGTAAGTTTGCTACTTATACCTTATACTTGTGTTGCATTGCTTCAATCCCAAGAGGTAATTCTTTCGCTGAACGATTGCTTACACCCCAATAGTGGCCCTGTCATGGTGACCGAGGCGCTCAAGCCTTATGGCGCCGAGGACCTGAGCCTTCATTTCGTCTCCAACATTGACGGCACCCACATTGCCGAAGCTCTCAAGCACTCCGACCCTGAGACCACTCTTTTCCTGATTGCTTCCAAGACATTCACCACTGCAGAGACCACCACCAACGCAAATTCCGCGAAGAAGTGGTTCCTTGAATCTGCCAAGGATGAAGCCCACATTGCTAAGCACTTCGTCGCTCTCTCTACCAACGAGGAAGAGGTGACCAAGTTTGGTATTGACAAGAAGAACATGTTCGGTTTTGCGTCCTGGGTCGGCGGTCGCTACTCCGTGTGGAGCGCCATTGGTCTCTCTGTTGCCCTCTACATTGGCTTCGACAACTTCCACCAATTCCTGGCTGGTGCTCACGCCATGGATAAGCACTTCCGCGAGACTCCCCTCGAGCAGAACATTCCTGTTCTCGGTGGTCTGCTGAGCGTCTGGTACAGCGACTTCTTCGGCGCCCAGACCCACCTCGTAGCACCTTTCGACCAGTACCTGCATCGCTTCCCCGCCTACCTGCAGCAGCTCTCCATGGAGAGTAACGGCAAGGCAATCACCCGCACTGGGGAATACGTCAAGTACACCACCGGCCCCATTCTGTTCGGCGAGCCCGCCACCAACGCCCAGCATAGCTTTTTCCAGTTGCTGCACCAGGGTACCAAGCTTATTCCTTCGGATTTCATCATGGCTGCTGAGTCGCATAACCCCGTTGAGGGCGGCAAGCACCAGCGCATGCTGGCCTCCAACTTCCTCGCTCAGTCCGAGGCCTTGATGGTCGGAAAGACTCCCGAGCAGGTCAAGACCGAGGGTGCCCCCGACAACCTGGTGCCTCACAAGACATTCCTGGGTAACCGCCCCACCACTTCCATCCTCGCTCAGAAGATCACTCCCTCCACGCTCGGTGCCCTGATTGCTTACTATGAACACCTCACCTTCACCGAGGGAGCTGTGTGGAACATCAACTCCTTCGACCAGTGGGGTGTCGAATTGGGCAAGGTCCTTGCCAAGAAGATCCAGAAGGAGCTGGAGACACCCGGCGCAGGTGGTGACCACGACGCTTCCACCAGCGGCTTGCTGCTGGCGTTCAAGAAGAAGGCCAACCTGGCTTAAATCTTGCTGCCAACATCGGCTGGTCAAGTCAAATCAAACTACAAAAATGTAATTCTTCACGACTCATGAGTGATCACTTCTTTTCTTCCATAGCACGCAATTTAATTGAGAGTCATCAATTAAGATGTTGCCCATCCCGTACGGAGTAGAAAACTCAGTTTCCTGGCCGTGTATCGAGTTGTGATAACGGACTCAGACGTCTGGAAATCAAATAAGTTTATAAGTATCTATGTGAGCGAATTTGGATCGCAAAGAAACATATCACGACTATCTTTTCATGATGGGCGTTGGAATTAGGTTGATTGACTGTGGGAGATCGTTTCGGCGAATTCGGGAGACACTGTTGATCCCGCGGCAGCCACATGTCCAGTGTCAACTCTGGCAAACTCCGAATATCATTCCACAAGGGAAGCTCAATACGCCTCTTTGGCGTCAAATTCTCTAACATGTTCCTTTTCCAGAGACGATTGTCGCATATACCATTCTTAGCACGTTATTATGCGTTGATAATCGTTGCGCTATCGCAGGTCGCGGTCGCGGGGAAGAGTGATGTCGCCAGTGGTAGGGCTGTATACAGCTATGGACAGCCTATGCCGGTGACCTGTTTGAACCGGACAATGTGAGTCTTGCAGCTATCGACCAGGAAGTGTTTGGTCCTGTTGAATTAATATACTAATTGCTGTTTAGCGACTCTGGAGAACATGTAATGCCTCCCCCTTTTCGCTGTCTCCTTGCTGCTTGTTGCTGGGCATGCCGATGCTGGAATATCTGTCTCTACGACAGTCCTTCAATATAGACTAACCTCTAGCTAACAACTCTCCTCCTATACAGATCACAGACAATCTCGGCAAGCTGCAATACATTCCCTTCCCCACCTGCAACGAGACCTTCCTCCCGCTTGCACTCCGCTACGGCGTGACAGAAACAATTAATTGCACCATCAGCTCACTCCCGGACGAGCTCTACCACCTCCTAGAGTATTACGTCCACTCGGATGTACCACTAGCCTGTCGCGTGCCCACCGCACCCCTCGCCCCATCCGCGCAAGCAGGCCCATCCCCTGATACCAAGAAGAGCGAAAACGCCGACCTCTCCCCCCTCGACAATGGCGGACCGGCATACACACCCCTTACCTTCGCTCTACAGGGCACCCTGCAGCGCAGCCACCTTCACATCTGGACAGACATGAACGTTCTCGTGCACAATATCCCCTCGGCCTCCAAGACCAAGAAAAGTAACCGGAAGGGCAAGCATGCGAGCCCGGGCTACGTCGTGGCCGGTACTGCGTACTCCATCCCCGAGTTTGACGGCCCACTTCCGAAGGACAAAGACGCTGACGAGGACGATGCGGCTGCGGCTGTTTCCGAGGCGGCGCGCGATCCCTGGACGGCCGGCCACGGCACAAAGGTCATTCGCGGCGAGCCGCTCACGTTTACCTTTCATGTTAGCTGGGTTGAAGGCGGGAAGGGGATCTGGTGGCCTGCTGAAGGCCCGGATACCGCGGAGGGATCGTCTGGCGTGGCGTCGTTCTTCTCCAGATTGTTCTTCTTCGTGCTGGCTGCAAGTGTCGGGGCGGTTGTGGCGTTGTACTGGGAGCGGAATGGGGCGCGCCGACGGGCTGGATGGCGCGGAGATGGGATATTGGGTGCCTCTACTCCTCGTGGGAAAGGGTCAGTTGGGATCACGTATGGCAATGGGGGTAAAATAAATGGGTATGGGGGTTACTCGCCCTCGAGCACTCCCTCTGTGGTCGCTACTGGTGGTGGGGGTTACGGATATGGGGGATATGGAAAGAAGGACTGATGGTGTTGTATACGACTTGATTGTATATCTCATGTCTATATCTAATTCTGACGAAAATGAACTTCTTGAATACCAATCAATGGGACCCATGTTTTCTGGAGAGATACCGAATAGAAAAACAGTTAGAAATAGTTATACATGACAGGAAAGACTTTCTCTGCTCGCAGACACCACTTAATCTCCCTCATCCCAGTCCCTGAATATGACGCATACCGGCTCTCTATGTACACCGCTTAATGCATATTACCATCCCTGCGCCCTCATACGCTGGATCTTGTTAACTGTTTCCTTAAACGAGAACTTGAACAACTTCCGCCACCGGTCCATCCTCAAGTTCTTCCGCATCTGGCCCCTCCGCACGTGGAACTTCTGCGCATGCCACTGCGCCCGCACCTTGTTGGTCGTGATATTGCCCTGCAGCACGCGCAGCGCCGTCGTCAGATCCACTCCCTTCTCCGGCTCCACGTGCACCTGGCGACCCAGCGTAGGCCCCAATTTCAGCTCTACCCGGCGGAGCGGGTGTTTATAGCTGTCTGTCTCAGGGGCCATGCGGACCGCGCGCGAGAGCGAAAGGGGGTCGGAGGACTGGCCGCCTTCTGTGGCATTGCGGTTGGTGTTGTTGAAGTTGAGTTGGTTGAGAATCCGGTCGAAGTCTGCGGAGTTGGAGTTGGTTGCTGTGCTGCTGCTGCTGGTTTGGACCTTGGATTGTTCCTGGGTCGACGCGGGGGTCGTGGATGTTGGTTGGTCCTGGCTAGCGGGAGTGGTTTGTAAGAGGGAATTGGATGTTGAGAAGTATCGGAGGGCATTCTGTCCGCGGAAGATGATGGGTTGCGTGGTGTATAGCGAGGTTGTCGGCCTCAAGCGGAGGCATCGAGCCAAGGATCGTGCCTCCATCTTTGCAATATGGAGGGATTGGTGATATGTATGGGGGTATAGAAAGAGAGTGAGTAGAACCGCTAATATCAAAAGGAAAATATGGTTGGTTCGTGAAGCTAGAGACCAGTGCCCGGCGTAGCTATATCTCGCTTGAAATCTTGCGGACATTCTCAAGACGGAAATCTGCACTCACGTGACTCGGCCATTTCTATAGATGCTCCGCAGCCGAAACGATTCAACATCCGAGAACATCAATAGACAAGCCAGAGCTCAATTTCTCTAGAAGAATTCAGACTGCGGGACAGCTTACAGCATCAACAGTACAACCTGCAGTATCCCGACTGCCATAAACGAGCCATGTCCTCAATCACAATAGCAACCCTTCCCCGCATGACCCGGGATGCTCTCTCCGAGCTTCTTCTCTCGACCACTTCTCCCAGCAAGCTTGCCATCATCGACGTAAGGGATCAGGGTACGACGCGAAACCACCTACCCATCTTTCCGCTGTTTTCCAATTGATTTTTCTCCTTGCAGACCACATCGGCGGGCATATTTATTCCTCCACCTGGGTTCCAAGCTCAACACTCGACTATCGCATGCCGGAACTGGTCCGAACGCTCAAAGATAAAGAAAAGGTTGTATTCCACTGTGCTCTGAGCCAGCAGCGGGGCCCATCAGCCGCCCTCCGCTACGCGCGAGAGCGAGAGGCAGCATTGGGCCCAGAAGAGAGCAAGAAGCAACAGGTCTATGTCCTCGAGGGCGGGTTTGTCCAGTGGCAGGAGAAATATGGTAAAGATACCCGGCTGACAGAGGCGTACGTCGAGGATATTTGGAGGGAGTATTGAAACACGCTCGGAACGTCTCGTAACAGCGACCCCATGCGACATGCACCACTTTCCATCGACTTACAGACCTCGCAAGGAGAACTCGGGTCCGGTTTACCGCGGCCGGTGCCGGTGAGCTTCAGTTCAGTGTCAAGCCACGTTGGACTGATGCGGGATATGGCGGGTTCTAGGACTGCAAACGCGATGGCGCACGATCATAGAGCCTTCTGACGCAACCACTTGTCTATACACGCTAAGAGCTTGTGGATACCTCTTCTATATACATCTATCGTACAGCTGTCTTAATAAGTACGCAGAAAGAATTCAGGGATTGCTGCAAATGTTACATCTGAACAGTCCCGCCGAACCCAACGGGTCTCCTTCTCCCACCATTCTCCGGAATGATGGCCATGAACTTGTAGATCTTTCCCATGCCGCCCCCGCCCCGCTCGATCAACCTCTTCCACCCACTTTCGAGCGTCTTGCGCTTCTCTTCATCCTTGACTCCCTTGAGCAGCTGCTGCATCCGCTCCGTGATGCCCATGACCTGCAGGAAATCTCCCTGCTCTACCGGTCCGTGAACCTCAACCCCCTCACTAGCTTCAATGGCCGCCTCCGCGAGAGCCATGAAATCAACATCGGCACTCACGTCGACTTGGCCTGGAGACGAGAGCGCCGGCACAGTCCGATGATGCTGGATCCCGCGGAGCGAATTGATAGGGATAGTCGACATCGTTCCGTAATCCATGATCAGCGCCGCTCCAGATGGTACCTTCTTCGGCTGCGCGGCGGGCGCATTCCGCGAGCCCACAGTACGAGGCGGTTGCGACGAGCCCCCAATGCGACGAGCAAAGTCAGATGCATATATGCGGCTTTCTGGACTGACTTCGATTGTAGATCCTGGTGTAGACTTGAGTTTTCGGTAGCGCTCTGAGATCTCCGGGATCACGAGAGAAGATGGAGTCGATGCCTTGGCTAGCGTCAGCTTGAATTCGGGCTCGCCTTCAATATTCTCTTCGACTGCTTTGGGATTTAATGTAACCATGATCTCGCGCCACTGGGGGGTATTGGCGGGTTTCATGGGTTGGTGCAGCTTCGCAGGGCCGGTAGGAGTCATAATCTCGTTCTGCTCGGACTGGTTCTCTGGCGCTGGGGGGATGGACTCAAAGGCGTGGATTGGAAGTGCATCGAAGAATTCGTGGGCAAAGATGAATGGCGTTTTGTCTTCCTCTGCATACTATATCAGTAACTGGCCCTTCAACGGTCTGGAAGCCCAATGCAGATCTTACCATGAGGCAGTAATCGAATATCCTCTACCCAGATCACCGGAACATTGAAATACTTGCTGGTACTCTTGTGACCAATATCCGTCTCCTCCATAGCCGCATCACCGCAAAGCCGCTGTTTCTGGACCTCTCTCAACGTCGGGCTAGCTTCAACCAGATAAATGGCTTCGAGACTCGAAGCAAAGCTCTTGAAGTTCCTGAACGTCTAGCCGAGCGGCTCCATCAGCATGAGCCATTCCAATCTGACTGCCGATGATGAAATAACTCACGCGTAACATGTCGTCCATTAGTGTGCCCTTCCCCGGCCCAACTTCTATGAGCTGCACGCCGCTGCATTTCCGCCCTTGTGCCATCCATTCTGTGATCGTCCATATACCCACCAACTCCCCGAAGACTTGTGAGATTTCAGGCGAGGTTACGAAATCTCCCTTCTTACCGAAGACTTCGCCGCCGCCCTCAGGCCGAGTCGTGTAATAGCCTCCCTCAGGAGATGTGAGAACTTGGCGCATGAAGGCCGCGATTGGGATCGGCCCTGTGACCTACACCAAGCAGTTCATCATCTTCAGTTCAAAAATTCCTCGCAAGAAGGCTGGACGAAAGAGAATGTGGAGGTACCTTGATCGCATTCGCTAGTGTTTTTGAGAGTGGTGTAGACCACTGCCTTTGATCAAATGTTGAGGAGCATCGGTGCGACCCTATTCGTAAGTTTCGACACTGGTATGTCCGAACATGTCGGGTGAAAGCAGGCCTCAGCGCACTATTCATCATCGGGCGCGATTTTCTCAAGCATGTATGGTTGTGGAGGCCTTTTGATCTGACAAGGTCAATGGCCCGTACGGTCTTCAATAATAATCAGATAGTTTAAGAATAAAGTGGCCTGTCAGATAGACTTCTCCAGGTAGACTACGTAGCTATTCCCACAGCCTCCGATGTTCATATCTCCATTTTCTCCGCAATAAAGTTCGGAGCACGTGATGTTATCTTATCAATTGTCCACTGATTTACAAGTGATTAACCTCCACTAGTGTCTTATCGTACGTTGAACAAATAGATCGCTCCCAGAGCGTGCACCCGAAAGGCTGATTTCTCAAATGAAAAGTCACTGCTGTACTCAGCACTGGGCTGGTGCAGAAAGAGGTGATTATTTCCCATCGAAGTAAAAAGCAAGAGATCCGGTGATAGCATGGCCCGGCCATTTCGAGCACAACGCGCCAGTTCATCGGTGCCGTCCACCCCTACGACCGAAGTTCTGCGTGGGTGCATCGACCATCATTTGATCGCTGTAAAGTCCAGTCTCTTGCGTATTCTGGTTTGTTTGCCTGCCAGCCCGTCCGTACGCTCGGTTGCCTCTCGCGTTGCGCCTGTTGTAACGACCATTGCCCCGAGGATCGTCTTGAGAAGGCAGTTGGCCATCTCCTTCAGCGAAACCGTATCTTCCATCCTGCATGGTAGGCTCGGCTTTCCGGTTCAGACGGCGCTCGCGATCCGCTTGCTCTCGTAGATTGCTGAATGAGGACTGAGGGTTCTGGACTTGCTGAGAAGGTGTCGGTTCGGCCGTGGAGTGCTTGAACCGCATGGACAAAATTCTGCCGTCAGCCTTTGTGTTTGTCAGCCAGTGAAATGAAACTTCAAAGTTCAGTTGGGAGTATCACCTTTTGGTTGTGGAAGTTGGCAATGGCTTTTTCTGCGGCCCATTTATCGGCGAACGTGATCTCGGCTGTGACAGTAGGATGCTGCGAGGTGATCCAACAGCTCAATATCTGTCCCGATAACGGTTCAATAGCGGATTGGATGTCTGCTGCTGTGGTGCCTGGAGCGAAATTGCTCCCAATCACGACGAAAGATCCTGACCCTGCTCCTCGAATAGTTATACCAACAGGATTGTCGCGCACCGTTGATTGTCCACTCGCTGGATTGAGCGCTGAAAGGAGGCGCTCCTCGTCTGGGCGACGTTTGCTGGCGCGTTTTGGTCGCGAGTTCGATGCTCGTACCGGCGCTGGCTGTGTGCGATGATTCTGCGTAGTTTTCGATGTAGCTGACGCGGAGGGCTGAAAGTGCAGTAATCCAATGTTAGTCTTGACCATGCGCTAAATATTATGATCGCGCGGATTCCACAATACCTTTACGACACCAATTCGACTGGCGAGACTCCCTGGCTTCGCTTTCTGGGCCTTGATTCCAGCTCCCGCGCCTGCGGCGACAGCCTTTCTGTTTTTACCAAGGATTTTGCTTGCGAGTTCTTCATTTTTTCTCTTTTTGCGATCTAAATGCTCAGGATGCAATCAGAAAGGCACAATTCCGATGAGGATTCTGAGAAGTATTGGAGGCCTTACCCGCTTGGATGATGGCATCGAAGGAGACAGCTCCTTGGCTGGCGGCCATGACGAGAACGGGGCGCTTGGAACAGGACGTAACAAACGGATGAGGTGACGCGAAAAGGGATATAGGATGGAAGATAAATCCTTTTTAAGTACCGATGCAGGCTAATTTCAATTAGAGGCTGTTGTAGATAGATAAAAAGGATGAGAAAGATGGCCCATAATTAAGGTGGGCGATATTTTCTGAGCTTATTGTTTCTGGGTGCAGCTAGCCGGCGTAGAGCAACACCAAAGTACTCTGTAGTCGGTACTAAGGATCCTAGGAGTACATCAGCTTCAGCAGCATCAATGATCCACCTAAATCTCTGCTATATTTAATAGAAGATGGGCAAATCTTGCCATAACTAGATCCTAGATATTTAGAGGAGTGCTATAAGCATATGACAGTTTGTATCAGTTTTTTCTGCGGCTAAAAGTGAATCTAACCTCTCAGCTTCCTGTTCCAGCAGGCATGATGTATTCTTTAAATGCAGTGAATATGGAAGCTGCAGCCCCCAGTAACGTCTCTCTTCTGTCCAACATAGCCAAAACCTCTAACTATCTGATACCCTGCATTCGCCACTGCAGCTATAGGTTCTGTTTGGTGATTTCTTGTGTTTCTCCCATCCCATCACTTAATAATTGGTGCATTTACCGGATTTCATTTCAGGCATCGTGTATCCTTCTCAATCAACATACTCCTCTGACGTATGAAGAAGTCATGCGAGTCTTCTTTCCTGTCTAGCACGCGAGGATTACACTGAGCTGAGGAACCGCTGCTGATATCGATATTTGCAAGAAGATGGCTTCAGAGGACCTGAGCATCGCCAAACAGACATTGTCTTCGTCACTAGCTCTTCGCTCACCCTTGAGGAGCAGAAATAGGTACGTCTCAATTCCGCAGCGGCGAGAGAAGTCCATATTGACAAGGTGACTTTAGGATCGAGAGACCAGCCACTCCACCCGCATCTTGTGAGGAATTAGCTCATTATCCCGTCTTCAACCCACGCGACCCTCGACACAACCCTGCAGCGTCTGCATCTTTGTGGCTGCAAAGTGATTACTGCCGATCTCAAGCATCTAGAACACAAAATTCAGTTAGCTGGATGCAGGATTTGCCAAGGAGGTCACTCCGCAAAGCGCGATCAGGTCTGCTGGCCCTTCGTTCTGGAATGCAAAGACGACCGCTTCCAGGCGGCCACGCTCGGAGAAGTGATATACCTAGTATTTGGTCCTCGAGAGACTCTACAGAGGGCTCATCTGATCATTTTCCGTCGTCAGTGTCGGACGCGAGCACAGAAGACGATCACGAGTTCGGCACCGGTCTCTATCGAACAGCTCGAAACCAATCATCCTCAAGCGAAGCTCTGAAAGATCACAGCCATAACACTGTTCCTCCCACATCCCCGTTGCCTTGTACCGTCCGCGAGAGCTTAGAGGGCACCGGGTTGAGGAGCCCCCTAGCCGCACAGGAAAAGAGTGGAGTCAATGGTACGTCAGAAGCAGGGGTGGATGGTGCGTCAAAGACAGCAACGACGGTGAGGGCACCTCAAGAGCATGTCACCGAGCCTGAGCACCACAGTCACATCCCGGATGAATCAAGTACAGTCGTCCAAACCTTGACTCATGTCATTTCCAATTCGCCATCTGCCAGTCTCGTTCAGCTTAGCGGAATAGCAGCCACGACGGAACACACAGCATCATCAGAAACATCGAAGGCAGCATCTCGGAAGAGCCCCATGAATTTGCAGCCGAGTGAGGACTGTATGACAGATTTATGCTCGAAGACCCATGATCCAAAGCCTGTTATATCCCATTCGTCAGTTATTAAGCCTGAGAGGCCGACGGCGGCCGAGAGTCCTGAAGAGTTGGTCAATCCAGATGTGCGAGAACTCAATGAATCGACTCGAGGCCGCGAGATCGCTCCACCACCCATCGCTTCTGGTTCAACTGACTCAATGGCTTGTGTATATGTCTCGAGCCGTTCCCCGTCTAGGTCGTCCTCTGTCAGCTCTCGTGAATCAATGTTCCGGCAGATACCAGCCGTCCAATTGATGATGGGAACGCTTGAATTGTTTGCGTCATCAAGAGAATGCAGCAGCGGTGGTCAGACCTTATGTTGCAGCGAAGTGGCAGAAAACGATCTCGTGGCAAGGGCAATTCACCATGCTCCAGCCGACCATACCGAGGATGAAAATGTACCAGCCGAAACAGAGCCTCGGCAGTCTAGAGCCGGGAACGTAGGAGAGACGCAGGTAGCTCAAGCTGGTGCATCTTTCACGGTTAGTATCACCTTTAATGTTACCCGCTCGTCACTGACGAAATCATAGGAACCATCAGAAGCGAGATCCAGCGCGCAGGAAGAGGAAACTGCGAGCTGCCTCCTGCCCGCTTTGGACGACACTGATTCCCTTGGAATCCAAAATAGTTCTGACCCGTGTGTGGCTCCCAGACCACCCTCTCCAAGCCAGACTGAAGATGGCGCGTCGGATTCAGATTTCGTCAGGTCACCGATTGAGATCGATGACGGACTCGCCTCACTGATTTTCAGAGACGAGTTCTTCTTTGTCGATGGCAAATCGAGTGATATCGCCCCCGATCGTGGAGACAATCCTATAAAAACAGGAAGCCGAATTGCGAGAGATGGTGGAATTTACAGTGGTCCGGGACTCGACCGTAACATGTCAGTCAGAACGCAGGAGATCCCAGAGATTGTCGGACCAGGTATGTACGTTTCGCGTCGGGGTAACCTGCCGAGTCTCGAACGAGACGCAAGCGATTCCACTGATGAGTGTATTGTTACTTACCCGATGTGGGAACGACGTCAGTTCCCATAATGTCGGGTATACGTAAGTTACACGACTGCACAACGGAAGAACCTGGAATCGGAATGCGTTATTTGTGCCATTTTTTTCATTGTCTCTGTATTGTTAATGTGCCTTGTATACTTATGTCTCAAGCGCCTGCGGTAAAGATCGCGGGGTTGAATGAGCACAGGTTGGAAATGACACTCATTTGTAAAAATAATGCATGCAGAGCCTCTTTCTGATAGATGCCTACCGCTAAGATGTTTCTGTTCATAAGAAATCAGAAAACAGACTCCTTCAGCTGTGTTCCCAAGACACGAATGCTGGTCTTGTCGTGGTCAAATCTCTCGAAACCTCGCACTTGGTAGCATGAAAGGCTAACCCAGACGTAAGGTAAAGCCAGCGCCTGTTTCCCCAGTATCGCCACTGGATTGACCACCGAATACACTGGCAAAGTCCAAGGCGGGAGCTTCCTGACCGCGCTTTGGCGCCTCTGGAGTCTCACGACGCCTTCGCCTCTCCATGCCTGCCTTCGATGGGAAGGTTGGAAACATTTCCTTTGGCTTTGGTCGCGGGTCCTCCCGGAAATATTTATGTGAGAGACACTCCTGAGCACTAGGGCGCGCACTTGGATTCAATGCCAGTAAAGACGACAGAAGCCGCAGACCGGCATTGGTGAGAAAGGGGAACTTTGAGCGGGGAAGTAAGGGAGGGTTTTCAGTCGGCCCCGATGAGGATGTAGGTGGAAGGCGAAGTGATTTGGCATTAGGAAGGGAGCGGAAACCAGGCCATGTTTGCTGGGTAGGAGGGCCAGTGAGAGCGAATATCTGGGTTTATCTGTCAGCGCGAGCGGACCTAATGTCAAAGAGAAGCAGATATTCTACCTTTGATACTTGATCGACTTCATTTTTACCCTGCAGCAAGGGTTCTTTGGTGAGCAATTCGCCAAAGATGCACCCGATACTCCACATGTCGATTTCCGGCCCGTACTTTTCTGCGCCCAGCAGGAGCTCCGGGGACCGGTACCAGAGCGTTACAACCAGCTGGGTCAGCTTCGGCGGAGGATCGCCGTAGTACCGTGCCATGCCGAAGTCGGCAATTTTGATCTCGCCGCGGTTGTTCATCAGGAGATTTGAGGTCTTCAGATCGCGGTGCATAATCCAATGGGAATGGAGGAACTCGAGACCAGAAAGGATTTGAAGCATGAGAGTTTTGATTTCTGAAGGGAGGAATGGTTCGCGCATGTCGTCTAGTAAGGTTTTCAGATCATGTTCGAGGAAATCCATAACGAGGAATACACTGTTGGCGGGATAGAGGTGCCCAGAGCCCCGACTTGGTTAATACTGGTGTATCTTGAACTTTTCAGGAAGAAGCAAAACCAACGCTGGAAGAGGGAATTGAAAGACTAGGGGTAGAGAGTAGGAAGGGCCAGCATACTCATCCATTTTAGTCCCCATGACGACCTCGCGAAGATATACAATGTTCATATGGCGAGCTTCCAAGAGTGTCTGGATCTCCCGTAATCCCGTTACCGGGAACCCATCCGGCGAATTTTCCATCTTTAGCTTCTTGAGAGCCACCACCTCCCCGGTCGTGATATCTCGCGCCCTACTCACCCACCCATACGAACCCTCCTCGATGTGATTCAGCCGCTCAAAGTTATCCACAAGCCGACACGGTCCCCATTCCAGCCCCGAAAACCGCAGGAGAGTCGACCGGGACTGTTCGGCTGGCGCTTTGGCTGCAGACCCCGACGCTGCGGAGGGCTGGGGCTGCTCGTTCGACAGCCGGCGACGCTTCTTGGGCGGAGCTTCCGAGTCGCCATTGAGCGCGTCTCCTTGCTGTGGCAGTGTGGCTTGTGCGGCCTGGAGTCGTGCTTGCTCTTCCAGCTGGCGCTGTCTCTCTGCCTTGGCGCGTTTCTTCTCTTCATTTTCGCGTTTTCGTTGTGCGAGGATGGCGTCTTCCTCGGGGTCTTCGGCGGCCCAGCGCGATTTAGACGGGGCGGACATGGCCCCTATGAGGGATTGGGAGAATTCAAAACCTGTATATTTGCTGATAGATACGAATATGTCGGTGATGAGAAGCGTTTTAATTAGCTTCGGGTTGGGAGATGAATTCGGGAAGGAGATGGTACAGCCCGGCTGGGATGGTGACGCTATCGGAATAACAAAACTTGGGGGAATGTGATCGAAGGGCCGAACTCCATCGCCGATTTCAAAGCCCCCGCCTGGTCCCGCTATGATTATTAACTCGCGGAGGGGGACGGAGTATGTTCTTCTTCTTTAAATACAGCTCCTGAGGTTATTGATTTATTCTTTTCTATCTTTTCTAATTGCAAGGATATACTTTTTGGAGGGTTCCCAGCGCCATACCGAAATGATTGAGCCGTTCCAGGTTTGTTTTGGTTTCTTGGCTGATATGGTTGCACAGTGCCATTGCGATCGATTACTGACTCCGTTTGATGATAGACCACCTTCGCGGTGCCCATGACCTGCGAAAGCTGTGTCAAAGATGTATCAAACTCGCTTTATAAAGTCGAAGGTTCGTGCTTTTTGAGAGAAGGCATTTCGCTGGAAACCATGTACTAATTCATGTTCATCCTACACAGGGGTCAAGAAGGTGGAAGCGAATCTTAAAGATCAGCTCGTCTTTATCGAGGGCTCAGCGCCGCCTAGCTCGATAGTCACTGCCATTCAAGCTACTGGTCGAGATGCGATTCTACGTGGAAGCGGCACATCAAACAGTATGTTATACTTCCCCTTGAGCGACAGACTTGCGAGGGTGGTACTGATCTGGTGGTGTGATACGCGACAGGTTCTGCCGTCTGCATATTAGAGACGCACTCGACGACCATACCGAATAAGATCCGTGGACTGGCACGCATGGTGCAGGTGTCCCCGAACATGACTCTGGTAGATCTGACAATCAACGGGCTGGCACCGGGAAAATACTGGGCAACTGTCCGGGAAGCGGGGGATATCTCGCGAGGCGCAGAGTCTACTGGTGGTATCTGGGAGGCGTTGAAGGCTAAGGTGATGGGTTCCGAGGCGCCCAAGGAGCCGCGCGGCGTGTTTGGGAGTGTGGATGTGGATAAGAACGGCCGGGGGAATGTCTTCTTGGATCGACCGGTGGCGATTTGGGAGCTGATTGGGCGGAGTATGGTTGTATCCAAGAGTCAGGAAGGCCCATTTCAACGAGAGGACCCAGATACATTGGTTGGCGTGATCGCTCGCAGTGCGGGTGTGTGGGATAACGACAAGACGGTCTGCTCATGTTCGGGAAAGAGTGTGTGGCAGGAACGCCAGGAACAGGTCTCTAAGGGAATGGTGTAGACTCTCGGAATCTAGAATGACTTCCAAATCTTGCATTGATTTATGACACCCATCACGGAGCTGATGCCAATTGAACAGATTGATTTGTTGCATGAGCACTGCAGCCACGCTCAAGAAAGAATGGTAGGCAAAAGGGAGCTTGGACCTGTAAGATTCTCAGTGAGACATAATACTCCGAACCTCCTCTGAGTGGACAGTGGGCACGGGGCACTTGGCACTGGCGCTGGTGTATCTCGCGGTCTTTCAGAGCGAGCAAGAACACGAACTGATCATGGCAAGAACAACAGACCATTGTCCCCAAACAGCTGACCATCGGATCAAGATGCAAGATAACAACGCGGCATGTCAGAACACCTCCGCAGGAAATGGCAGTAGAGGCCTAAATATAGACAGACGAAGTCTTTAGAGCAAGCGCCAGGAGATGGCCATTGGACAGCGGTTTCTTCTCCTGCATTGGTAGTATTGTTCATCCCTGTCTGACCGATGGCAGCGTCTTGTCCTTGCATCAATAATCGAGCTAGTGGCTGCCATGCTACCGTTTACATGACTATCGTGAGTTCTAGCTCGATCAATAATTGAGGATACCGAGATACCCAAGCAGCTAGTGCCAGCCCCAAGGTCAGTGAGTGCATTACTCCGTCATTGGCGAGCTAATCATGTTGGTCACTAACCGAAGTTTTCCTAGCATGGCAATAAGGGCCGAAGCCATCTCTTATTGCTCTAAATAAGTCTTGAAGAGATGTGTCTTCCGAAACCACTCATGGCTGTCCGTACAAGCGCCGTGGCGGGGATGCGGGAGAGCCTAAACCCAGTCGATTCTGCTGGAGGCGTGTTAGCATGAGAAGAGTTGGTGGAAGCATCTTTCTTATTAGCTGCGGGAAGATTTGAAGGATTCTCCCATCTCATTTCATGTCAGTAATGGATATCTAGACCTCATTAACCTAGAATGGCCTGACAAGAGTAGAGAATAATAGAAACTAAACTCCCTTGAAGGCAGAGCGAATGTGATGGTAAATGATGGCCCCCGCATTGATCGGGACGGGCCTTTTGCTGGAGCCCATCAATCATACCTTCGGACCACCAAGGACAAGGGCCCGTTCGCCTTTCTTCACCCTTGATTGCTCAACTTACTTCGTGATTATCGAATCTTGTTGCACACTTCTCGATCAAATCAGATCCCTTGAATGAGGAGGATATCAATTTTCTCCCCTCATCTAGGTCGCCGATTTCTCCATGGGCCGTTCCACAACGTCCTGTCGGGCTGCGCACCTGCAGGGGAAAGCTAATAATATGATAATATAAGTGGATGGGATAATCCTCATGACAACCATCCAGGATGATTATGCTATGATTATGCTTCTGGACGCTGGGCGCTTACGGCTATTCAGGAGCATCAAATCATCAATTGCACTGCATCCCTCGTCTCCATCACTTCCTTGGCAACTGTCCACACTCATCCACGACGGTAATTATTTCCCCCCTTTCCCATGAGTTTCCAGTTTCCCAATCTATGTGCTCATCTCGATTTAGTAGTACTCGACTTATGCCTCCGACATTCCTATTCTGTACAGAACGCTAGCCGGCCTCTCCTCAGTTGAGTAAGGTGGACAGACACTAGGGACTGATCCGTATCCTTGCCACTTTTCTTCTGCTGCAGGCCCCATCTCTGAACGTTCCTTGCTTCTCCCTCTTTTTCCTCCCTGCTTAATTATTATTTTGTTTTTCATGACGACTCCTTGTCGCTCATTTCGTCCTGCCATTCTCTATTCAAGTACTTTGTATCAGGCGTCGTTCAAAGCGGCCAGGTGCTGGAGAATAGAAAGTCTCAGAAAGCAGCTTGACCGCACAGAAATCCGAAGGATCGATCAATCCATATGACATACTGTGCTCATTTCTTACTAGCAGATTTTGGGATTTCGGCTCTATTAGACCACCAGATGATCTAATTATAACTTCCGACCTATTGTTCGTCCAGGATCACGAGGGGACTAAGATTCCCGGGATCGGCTGGGCATTCTATCCAGAATAGCAGACCTTTGGATTGCAAAAGACAGGCTATCTAGCTGCTGGGCACTCAAGCCACAAAGTACCACCACCGCACCACGAGAGAAGACTTTGTCCTGGTTCTTCAAAGGCCCTGCCCCGCCCCGCAGCTTTAGCTCCTACGTGCATCCCGTCGGACTCATTAATACCCCTGCTCACTGCGCCAGCCCACTATCTCGCATATCAGAAAAACTGGTCAGCCTCTTGGCTTCCAGTGACCGCCATATATAACATAATCCTGCTTTTACTGCTCCATTGTGTGGGTGACCATCATCCGGCTTCCCTCGTCTCGACTCTTGTGAAACATTACCTGGGGCTGAGTGGGACGGGGATATCGTCGGCTATTGCGAGCTCTTCTTGGTTCATTTAGGGGCGCAGACATAGAGTTTGATTCTACGGAAAGATGTCATTGAAACAGGTATGAGTGACCCCCGATCTCGCAATGCAAATCTGACAGGGAGCAGGAAATTGAGACATGGGTGTTGGCTCTGGAACACTACGACAATCATGAGTATGAGGAAGCCATACGGATCTTTGGTCATATTGCGGATACGTCCAAGATATTCTTCAATTGCGGAGTCATCTATGCAACGCTGGGAGAGCATGAAAAAGCCGTATGTTTATTTATTCGAAACGAAAAGACGGCAGTGTCCACTAACTTTCGGCAAGGTCCAATGTTACCAACGCGCTGTCAGTCTAGACCAGTATCTTGCCATTGCCTATTTCCAAGAAGGCGTGTCAAACTTCCTTCTAGGCGATTTTGAAGAAGCATTGGCCAATTTCAATGATACCCTTCTTTATCTCCGAGGCAATACATCCATTGACTACGAGCAATTGGGCTTGAAATTCCGTCTCTTCTCGTGTGAGGTCTTGTTCAATCGAGGGCTCTGCTATATCTACCTGCAACAAATGGGTCCAGGCATGCAGGACCTCGAATACGCAGCGAAAGAAAAGGTCACTCCCGACCACGATGTTATTGATGACGCCATTCGGGAGAGGGCGGAGGTATAACCTATAGTGCCTTGGTCGTTGAGATTTTGCTGACCGAAGCAGGGGTACACGGTGTTCTCGATTCCCGTCGGAGTAGTCTATCGACCCAACGAGGCCAAAGTCAAGAATCTCAAAACAAAGGACTATCTAGGCAAGGCGAGACTGATTGCAGCGTCTTCTCAAGGCAACGCGCGGAATGGACACCAACCTACGGATTTGATACGAACTCAATCAGCGTTCGATGACCGCCCCGCCGAGAGCATCTCGTTCGCTGCCACGAACCTGGTGCAAAAGAATCTGTCGGGACGAAGTCGTCAGCAGTCGGAACCCCCGCTAAACCGCACTTTGTTCCCACCTACGCCACCTCCAGAAGGTGACAAGTCTGTCACAAAGAGCCCTTCCGGTGGTAGCGTGGGTGCCAACGGTAGACCAGGTTCCGTTCGAGCGGCGCGGCCTCCTCGGCTCAACCTCGATCGACCGGGTTCTCAGCCCAATGGGAGAAGTAGCGCAGACATGCCCGCTTCCGACAAGCCACGGATAGGGTCGACTCGTACGGCCTCTGAACCTCGTGGACCACCCAGCCGACATTATCCACGGGGACCCAACGGTCCAGAAACCGACAGATATCTTCCTCCTCGGGAAACAGGAGGCCACAGGAGAGGAACCAGCGAAACAAGTTCTGCATCAGTCCCTCGGAATGGCTACGGTGAGGATGGATGCGGAGTGTACACAAGCCCACACTCTATGGCCAGTAGCGGACGAAGAGGCGTAGCTCCTCAGCAGCAACGGTATATTGACGAAGAAGAGGAATACGTGGGCGACATGTGTGGTGCGCATGGTGCCCGCGGCATCTACGAGTCACCCGGCAGCTCGCAGCGACGAACTAGATCGCCGATCCGAGAGTCAAGACGAGCCGATTCACGCCGGCCTGATGTCCGCAGATTCCGGATCAAGGTTCATGCTTTCGAAGATACCCGGTATATCATGATCGGGCCCACGTTGGAGTACAGCGAGTTTGAAGCCAAGATCCGGGAAAAGTTTGGCTTTCGCTCGCTTCTACGAATCCGAATGCAGGACGAGGGCGACATGATTACAATGGTGGATCAGGAAGACCTGGACCTTCTCTTGAGTTCCGCCACTGAGGCAGCTCGGAAGGAGGGCAGCGAGATGGGCAAGATGGAGGTGAGTCTGGTTCGCACGTTTGTGAATTGATCAGTAACTGACCGTCTTCAGATATGGGTTGAAGAAAGACCAATGATATAGTTCTGAAGGTGTTTTTTGCAGGGAAATCTTCTGGCTATAGATGAGCGGAGAGCCGGTCTCGGCTGTTGCATTCTTGGTGCTGTCAGTGCTGATTCTTGATGTTGCATGATTTATACCCTTTGATGATTTGCACGAGCGGGTTGATATTATTTTAGCTTATGTATTTATATGGATACCCATTGATTATTGATAGCAGCGTACATTTGTCCAGCAACTGCAGTAAGAATGTCTCTAATATATCTGAGCTAAAGAGTAAACACTAGGGCAAGTCGGATCACGGGAGTGCGGACAGCGATAGAGACCCACTGCGCAGTGACGTTGATTGTTGACAGCAAGGCTTCATCTTTGTTACTTCTCTTCCAGCTGCAGCTTATCACAATCTCCGTAGAATCGATTTCCGGGGGATTATTTCGAAATGACCGACATTACCTCAGATATCAACCAAGTCCTCAAGGACAGACATGCAAGCACCACAATCCCTAAGGGGGAGCCTCGTCCTCCATCCACCGCAACGGCCGACGAGTTCCTCAAAGAAGCATACCGCATCGTCAGCATGCCCCCCGCCCTCAATGTCACAACAGATACTAACACACAATAGAACTCGCACATTCACTCTCTCCTCCTCTACCTCCAATCCATCCGCCACTCCTACCTCTCCACAACCCCAACCGTCCATCCCCGCACCACCACCTCCCTCCGCACCAGCCCAACCACCTCCACCGCGACCAGCACCCAAAGCAAACCCCTCACCGACACTGAACGCGACTCCATCGACTCTTCCACTGCCCTCCTCCTCCGCGACCTCTCCACCTCAATCGCCAACCTCTCCACCGCCGAATCTCTCCGCCAGGAAACCGAATCCGGCCTCCTCCGCAAGAAACACCGCGCCCCGTCCGCCCTCCTCCGCTGGGCTGCCGGCGCCAGTGCCCTCGCAAACGCCCCCACCGAGAACAAATCCCCCGAGCAGATCGCCGATGAGGAGCGCGCCCGCACCCTCCGCACCGTCCGCGAGAGCATCCTCTGGTTCCTGCGGCGGGGGCTCGAGCGCGCGGCCGAGGCCCAGCGCGATATGGTCGAGAAGCGCATTGAGCGCGTCCGCGAGAAGGAGAAGAGCGTGTTGTATAAGAGTGAGGCGGGCGGGACTAGGCCTGTCCCTGCCTCTGTGCCTGTTTCTGTGTCTGGTCCTGGCCCGACAACCGCGGACCCGCACTTGCGCGGAGCAACGCTGAGCGAGACCGAGACCGCTGCTATCGAGGCGGAGCTGTCGCCTGAGCAATTGCAGCTGTTTGCCGAGGAGAATGATCTCATGCTGAGGCAGTATGAGGATGCGTTGAGTAAAGTGCAGTACGTCGATGTTCATGTTCCACTCTTATCTTACACTCTGATACGTGGGTTGGCGAGATGCTAACGGTGTTTTGTGTGTGTGTGTGCAGGAATGCCGAGAAATCCCTCCTGGAGATATCCTCCCTCCAGCAGACGCTTGTGTCGCATCTGTCGACGCAGGAGGAGTATATCGAGCAGCTGGTCATGGATGCTTCGTCGACGACGTCGAACATCGGGCAGGGGAACAAGGAGCTGAAGCGCGCGTCGCAGCGGCGGAGTACGGCGCAGGCGGTGTTCTGGGGGACGGTGGGACTGTGTACATGGCTTGTGGTATGGGATTTGATTTTTTAAACTGGTGGCATGGCATTACTGGACATACATATTACTACGATACCATTCTAATCAGATGCACCATTGATAATAAGTGTGGTTCAGAATGAGTTCATTCAGGAAAACCCCCGCTCAAGGCGATCTACATATGCGCGTAGAGTACCGGGCTTAATCCGACAGGCCATGCAGAGTAAAAAGAAATACATTCCATCCGAAGGTGTGAATGGGTAATTAAAATGGATAAGAGATGCGGACGGGTCATGAGGAGGGCGGAGGACGGATATCAGGCGAAGAAATGAGCAGAAGCGATTATGAGGTCTCGCGGACGACGCTGTCGACCGCTTCGGCGAAGTAGTCGATGTTATGTGTGTTGAGGCCCGCCATCGAGATACGGCCGTTCTTGGTCTACAGAATAAATCATTAGCTTGTCGTCTCGCAGTCAAAGGAAATGTAGCTAGTTATAAGGGACTAGAACTGCCGTGGCTGTGGTCCGAAGAGCGGGGTGGAGAGCCCCGGAAATTGCGGTATCTAGCCGGCGCCGCTGCCTGCGGAGCTATAAAAGGAGAAAGCCACTTACCATGTACACGTGCCACTTTTCTCTAAGGATCTTGACCTGCTCTTCGGTCAATCCGGTGAAACTGAACATGCCGATCTGACTGGTAATGTGTTCCCAGTTGCCGGGGGTGCCCTTTGCCTCGAGGCGCTCCCGCAGACCCTTGCGCATCTCCGCGATACGGCCGCTCATCGTCCGGAGGTCCTCCTCCCACTCGGCAAAGAGCTGGGGGTCATTGAGGATGCGGCTGGCGATGCGCGCGCCGTACGCGGGCGGGTTGGAGATTTCGGAGCGCTGCAGGATGGCTAGCTGGGAGGCGATGTGGGCGTTGGCGGCTGAAGCGTCGGGGCCGGGGGCCGAAACGAAGTGGAACGCGCCGGTGCGCTGACCGTACAGACCAAAGTTCTTGGCGAAGGACTGGGCGATGCAGAGCTCGAAGCCCTGATCGACGAAGTAGCGGATCGCCCACGAGTCACGGGAGAGATCGCCGGACGCGAAGCCCTGGTACGCTGTGTCGAAGAAGGGGAAGTGCTGGCGCTCGCGCAGGACGACCGCGACCTGCTTCCACTGGTCCTGGGTCAGGTCCACGCCGGTGGGGTTGTGGGCGCAGGCGTGCAGGACGATGATGGAGCCGGGCGGAGCTTCGCGCAGGGCACCGAGCATCCCGTCGAAGTCGAGGCTCTTGGTTTTGGCGGAGAAGTAGGGGTAGTTGGCGAGCTTGAGGCCGACGTTGGTGAAGATCTGGTGGTGGTTGGCCCAGGTGGGGCTGGAGAGGTAGACCTTGGGGGGTACGGGGTGGAATTTGGCCAGGAATAATGCGCCCAGGTGCAATGCGCCCGTTCCTGAAATGGCTTGTAGTGTGCAGACCTGTTATCAGCCCGCCGATTAGCCATCCGATATCCGACTATGGTCGCAAGGCGTTCTAACGGAGTGAACGCGGGTTAACATACCCGTTTTTCGCGAATGGCTGCACTATCCGCACCGACTATGAGCTTTTGAGCGGCGGAGGTGAAATCTGGGAGACCTTTGATGGGGAGATATTCATGGTTGAGGTTGGGGTCGTTGCGGATTGCCTCGTCGGCCTGGATAGAACCCGTCAGTCACGGCCTCTTGCATCAGGATGCTGTTACGGGGATGGTGAATCACCTTCTTTACTACAGGAAGAATCCAAGGCTTTGCGTTATTGTCTCTGTAGGCGCCAATGACAAGATCGACTTTTTTGTCCGAGGGATCCTGACGAAACGCTTGAGCCAGACTGAAGAGAGGATCTTCTGGAGCGGCGGGCACAACGGCCGTGGAGAAGACGGACGGGCTTGAGGAACCCATGATTTGTGAGGAAAGGGAGGCGAGACGATTTCGAGCGATAGAGGATGATGATGAGGGAGGAGTTGATGAGGAGGAGGAAGAGGTAGTAGTAGTTGTAGTTGTTGTAGGAGGAGTGGGTAGACGCGGGGAAGACATGGCGCCGAATGCAGATGAGAATTAAATGACGGGAAAATAATGGTATGAGTAATAGAAACACAAAAATGCGGGAATTTTTCCTGTTCTGGATCTTCTGTTTTCGCTCTCGAAACAAACTCAAGCAATGACTGGGGTTTATTTTTGGAGATTGCTCATTCTCCAGTCACAATAATCATACCACTGGGGAGAGGAATTCTGCTTGCGTTCACCGGGCGGAGCGATTCGGTCAACTGACAACAAAGTCTGAGAGGCCCCAAGAAAGAAGCAGATAAATCCCGACGGAGTTATCTCACGCGTCGTTAATAATATGACAATCAGGGAATGCGATATATTGAAGATAATGTAGACCGAGAGAAAGATAAGTCGATGAGGGGAAATCCAGTCCCAGTGAGGGGTATCTTTCTATGTCTGAAAAGGGTAATATTGGGGATGGGAATAGTATCAATACTGAGTGATACTAAGAACCTGGCCAAAACAAGATAATCAGTCCGTTAAGAGGTACTCATTCTCCCTCCTTTCGCTATTTATGTAAGAGAATCATTCGACCCAACTTCACCCGACTCGAAGCGTGATTTTTACTCCTGACGGCGAGCCGAGGAACTTGTCTGCCCCGGTGCCGATTACAACACAATGGCATGACGACATCACATGCTACAGTCTTTATTAAAGCACTTCAGGTATTATGCTCTTATCCCCAGATGGTTTACTCAAGAGCGGTCGAGGTACTTTGTAGGGACGGAGAATCTTTCGACCTTGATTGATATTCGTCGCATGCGCCATGTTCGGCCAGCCAACCACCGAGGCTATAAAGTCAGCATCACCATCACCATCAGTACCTTAGTAGTTATCTACTGTAAAGAGCACATGATAACAATTAACAATGTACAACAACCATGCAGCTTTAGCCGTCCGTAGTCATAATCCTGACTTCTTGACCCGAAGATAACCTATTACTATTGTTGTTTCCCAAATATTACGGAATACGTAGTATATTCTACGAGTCCAGAGTCCAGAGCCTTAATAAGGCTAAATGTGTCCATCATCATACTTGCGACAATAATTAACCGGGCTCCCCGTAAATTTTCTGGGCCAAGAAAAGGTCAGGGACCCAGCGGAGTTACCCCGAACAATCTCAAACAGTTACAAAGCACCAGAGGTAGATGCGCGATTAAATTTCGGTTCTGGCCCGGCATCCACTCCGCGATTCCGAGTAGGTACCGCTACGTACACAATGACTTTCCCAGGTAGTGTTTGTGATTCTACGGAGTAATAGTACATGCATTCTTTCCCGGGGTATGTGTGAACTCGTCGGGTAATTCGGTATTCGGGCGGCGGCAGTTGCTTAGAATTCTCAAATATAGGTAGTCATTCAGGCTACTCAAAAAAGAGAATGGAGGCAAATACAGACCCCTGCCTTATGACTGTAGAATTCGGCCTTCATGCCGAATCACAACGCGAAGAAAAGAAGAAATCAGCAGCATCGTGGATTTGTGGCCCGCCATGAATCCACCGTCCCCGTCCAATTTCCCCACGGGGTGGACTATTTCCGAATGAGGAAATTCTGTCGAAGCCGTCGCCGGATTCCGGAAACCCTTTTGAGTCGCAATGATACTAACACAGATGGTATGTATGCATTCATTCTTGTGAGTCACGTACATATATGTATAAAGAAGTGAAACCATGCCAAATGCAAAAGATTTTTTTGAGGCCGCGGAACCCAAGACTCCAGTCTCCAAAAAACGCCCTGTATCACCCATTTCCGAACCATAACTGTAACCATAACCATAACCATGACCATATACTCATCAATCATCCAGACGAAATGAGAAGGGAGCAGTATCCAATAAATCTCGGCGGACCAAGCCACACCTTGCCTTCGTGGTACCCCAAATAAAAATTGAAATATAACACAGAAGAATAAATCGTAGATGACTGAACGTCTTCTATACTGAGGCGATGAGTGAGATTGTAGATCGAAATCGATCGGTTGGCATTGAAGTCGCATCGCCGGGTGACACTGTCCGCAGCGAATCTATGATTGCGCCGTAGCCTCGACTCCATGTGTGCGTGTTCGTATACGGAATCGCTCGCGTAGCCGTGCCGTCAGTCGATTGCGTCGGCGCTCTGCCTCTTCGTTGCTAGCGTCCCGGCTGGCTTCCTCCCGTACGCTTCGGAGCGCAGCAAGTCTTTCCTCCACGGTGGCATCGCGCATCCGGCGCGCATTCAGGGTGCCATGCAGATAGGAAGATATCCGGCGATGTTGACGACTGGAAGTAGCGTCTGCTGCTGGTGCAGTCGCGTTGTCTTGAGATGTATTGTTGTTGTTGTTGCCACCCTCACCCTGCTCGTGCTCTTCCTCGGCCTGTGGCGGATTGAGGTCGATCCGGCTAATGATATGTCAGCTTTTATATCCGAGCGATAATGACATAAAACATACCATAAGGGGCAAGTGCCAGAGACGTTGACCAGCCAAGGATCAATACATTCCGGGTGAAATTGATGGTTGCAGGGTAACACGCGAAGGTCCTGACCCTTGATGAAGTCATCCGTGCAAATTGGACAGGAAAAGTTTGGATGTTCATTCGGTGATTCAGCATCTGTCGCGGGTATCGGTGTGCCTCGCCGTTCGGAGTCGGTTTCAGCCTTGGTGGTTTCGGTTTCATCGTTCCGCTGGCCACCAGTTACAGATGGAGGGGATCCATCGGCAGTCGGTGCCTCTCGACGCTCAGTGACCCCTTCCTCCTCGGTCCCGAGGGACATCTCCACATCACCCTTGACGGGGTCTGTCTTGGGGTCAGAATTATCCCCAAATTTGACGATGGGAATCGTATCCAGCATCGCCCTTGCTATCCCTCGCGCTCGACTTTGTCGAGGCCGCCCCGCCGTATATCGGGGGCCATAGCGTTCCGGATGACGATGGGCCCGGATGGCCCCGGTAATAATGATCGCTAAGAAAAGCGCAGTAATAATGCCAGTGATGCTGTACAGGATGATCATGGCTATATTTCAGTTGGTTAGGAGGACAGTAGCTTCATGGAAGGAGAGAAACGCACCAGTGTTGGGGCTGTCCGTTGACCCATCCGGGGTCGACGGGGTGACTGTCCCCACGAAGGACATGTTGTAGACAATGCTGAGAGAGCCGTTCCCGTTCTGCTTACTGAGTTGAACACTAAGCGACTCGGCAAAGGCTGGGTTCAAAAGGGTAAAAACGTTGGTATATAGGCCGGCGGCGTCGTTGTTCACAGTATAGTTGCAATGGGAAGCAGAAGTGCTGTACAGAAGAACCGCAGATGCCTTCTCTTGCGCTGTAAGAAGATTTGATACCGTTGCACTGGCATCCAAATTGCCTGGGTACAGAGACGTGTCGCAGCTGACAAAGGCAATATCGCCTGTACTCAAACCGAGCGAGTTGTATGCGCCAACATCCACGGGATTCCCAGTGACATTGAACCTCTATGATATCATTAGTCCCATGTGACTTCTATCTCTGAATATATAACTCACCTGAAGGTCAGTACCGTTTAAATTGACCAGATGTTGGGTCAGAGGTGCGACAATAGCGTGCGACGGAACGGTGTATTGATTGCTCTGCAGATGGAACCTCTTTTGGTTGGTGAACGACAGATCCGCAGAGCTATTCGACGGCAGTACGGTACAGCCAGCCGAAGACGCTGTCGCTCGAACGGTGGACGAGAGAGCAAGGAAGATAATAAAAAGAAAAAGAGACGAAGAGAAAGAAGAAAAGGAAGAAGGATACACAGAGGGTATTTGTCTGGGTTCCATTATTGAAAAGGATCAGCCCGGATCGATGGGGGATTTCCCCACGGTGACGAGGCTTACGGAAACAGCGGAGGGCAGTCAACTATGGGGGTGCACAGAATATCATTAGTCACGGATCCTGTACTCCGTGCAGTAATCCACAACGCGAAAAGCAGCCGGAAAAAGAGGGCCAGATTAAAAAGGAAAAAGGAAAAAAGAAAAATAAGAGGAAAACAGGAAGGTAAAACGACTATCAATGATGGAACAGCCTCTTTCCACGGCGGGGTTGATCCCTTACCAACGGCGACTACAAATCCTAATGCAGGCGACCGAAGGGATAGCCGAATTATTTCAAATAATAATGCACGACCATTCAACATAGAAAAGGGCGTAATGACGGGGCGGGAAGGATTGGATTGGATATGGGAAATAAGAAGCCGAGAAAAATCAGAAAAGGTAAAAAGGAAGGGAGCAATTGAGGGAAGAAGAGCGCTTGAAACCCGACGTTGTAGCGACAACGGGGCGGATCTGACTATCTAACGCCTCCCAGTACTCCGTACCAGTCTTCAGTTTCACTTTCAAGCATCAATCAGCTTGTCAATGGGGCACAACAGGAGTGGGCCCTCACAAGTGATTGACAGCCAGCGGTTGACTAGCGTGAGATGTGCAGGTCAAACACTTGGGTACTTAATTGATGATTTGTGTCTTGTGCTGGCCAAAGTGTGACGATGCTGATGGACAGCAACTGGCGATCAGCGAGTATTCCCAGCCTTTCCGGCACGATCGGAAAAGGATCCCCCTCCAGGGGATTAAAGTGTGAGATGAGAGGGGCTATGCATCCATCCTTGGCTCTGTTGTGACGGTCCCAAAAGTAGGCCAGACCGTAAGATGGGCGCAGCTATGAAATGATGGATAGATTGAGGATGGCAGTAAGGATTCAGGAGGATATTGAAGGAAGGTGGAAGCGTGCTAGTATTATACAGGAGCAAGAAGGACGCTAACTATTGTAGGTACAGTATCCAACCCTTCATAATGACTGTCGAGGCCAGGATTGAAAGAGTTACAAGATTCCGTTAGACTTCCAAATCCTGGGGGAGACAAAGAAGGACAAGACCAACCATCGAAGCTAAGATAAAGGATCATCCTCAGCATCGCGTGCGATCTTATCCAGCCGTCTCTCTAGGGGCTGTGCTCCCAATAGATCCAATGGATAATGCACAGCGCTGCTTTTTTGACTTTTCAGCCACTCTTGAGGATATTATCGCTCCTCAGCAGGATTCCACTCTCAACAATCTAGCCACAGGCTACCTAGCACGCAGAGTACTTGGGTGCTTCTCGCATCCAAACACGAAAAAGGCAGGTGTCCTAGCTGTCTTCTGAATCCAATCATTGCGATGATCTCTCTGGTGCGGGGCTTGCTAACGTCGATCCATGGGATGAGGGGACCGCGCTGGCGTAGGCCGGAGAAGAGATGAATCATTATTGCAGTTGATGATGATCTTATTAGACTTTTCCCCTCCAGGTTCCAAGGTGAAATGATCTATCTAGCGTCGTCCTTTTTGATTTCCAATAAGGGCGAGAAGATATTCCGATACTCCGCCGAGATGGCAGTCGACTGCTAACTGGCGAGCCAAGTCGGCATATTGTACTGGTAGCAGCAGGTCGGCAAGATGATGAAAAGCATCTGATCATCAGCAGCCATGCAATCATTGCATCATCGCTGGATATAACTCGGCTCTCGATTTGCTGGCCATTGAAGCAGAGTAGATCTCAACCATGGAGACTGTTCTCGTTCACATGGGTTTAATTAATAATTACATTGTCATTAACATTGACGTTTGACGTTGATTGAAGCAAACCACATGATGCTTATTGTTGACTATCAATTGTCCATTCCGATCCCATAATTCCACCTTCATGCTCCTTTTCTTAACTATTTTCTTAGGTTGCTTTTGCACTTGGTTGATGCAGCGCATTCGAAGAGTTTCTTGCAAAGAAATTCGGCCCTGCCGAGATCATGAGTACTTATGTTGATGGACACCTCGCAAATCTCCGGTGATTCTCCGACTATCCATGATCGTCTCCGGAATCGGACAAGTACTTGACCAATCCTTATCGTATCGTTTTGCACTACTTATCGTAGAAGTAGGCTGGAGGTAGCGTCGTAATCATATTCGGTCGAGAAGAGTCCTAGACCGCTTATGTCATAGGCTATCAGCATCATGTGTGCCTCATATTATTTGTTGATGTTGCACTTGGCTGTGTAGATTTGCTGTCACCCATCACCGAGATAACGTCTCTGTTTGCGCGCCCGGTGAGGATTGTCCAGCGGGCTCAAGCGCCTTACCACTGGTAGCGAAGAGCCTGAAATGGCTCAGACTCTCCAGCACTTTGTCGTCGTAGTAATGATGCTATGGACACACTTAATCCGAAGTGGTCTTATATGGACCTAACGGGGTTACTACCTTATTGGCCATGTTATCGGCTCCATCTTTCGCATACATATACTGTGTATGTTACGCTTCGCTCCAGGATCCACTCTCCATTTCTTACAAGACCGTCAAAATGCAGGTCAAGTCCAACTTCATCATTATGTGCCTGAAAATAATGGCAGCAAGACAAATATCCTACCATCTCAAATGCCATGGGTTACACTGCATTGAATGAATTTCGTGGCCCCTAGAACCTAATGCGACTAGTCCAAACTACAGACTCCAGACTTCGCGTTCTTTCTCCTGATGGAGTCCCAGTATGTTTTCTTGGCTGCACTAAGAAGGGAATGCTATCTCGACTTACGATGTTGGTTACTCATGTCCTGGACGGTGTATTGGACTGAGTATGACTGTGTATGCAGTGTGATTGCGACGCATACGATACCGATCTGAGATACCTACACCTGACGCTAGACAAGCTCCTAGACAGGCGCCTCAGAATATTTTGAGCTGGTCGACGGAGAGTGCGAATGCACACCCAGAAAGCTGAGCACGGTGAACGAAATTGCGGTGTGTTGGTATAGCTTCTTAGAGAAAGACTTTGGTGTCTCAATCTATAGCTCATGCAGACGACAGGACTCCTGAACGACTTGACCAATGGAAAGATCTCGGGGATAGCAGCGATCGACACACTCGTCTTCATCTTGGCGTGACTAGGCAGATAAATCGATCTTGAAACCAGGTTTCGAAAGCCACCATGCATGTCCATGCATATGGCAAATGAAGCATCTGCATAGAGTTGACATGTCTGGCAGTCGCTATCAGGGGAAGATATTGGATTCATATATCCAATGCAAGAGCCTGGAACTAGGTAAGGTACTAGGCGCGGTTGATTTTGAGTTGGGATCTTTTGATATGGAACAATCCATAATTCAGAAGTGTTGCGCAAACTTCATGTGTGACAGTAAGTAATCCTGTATATTCAGGGATTCCAACTCTAGGCCCCAGAATGACACATTTGATGATATTTGACCCGCAAACTCCTGGCGGTTCTATCCGATCAAAAAGAGCTAAGAAGCAGATAGCCCTGTGGCTCCACGGAGGTCGTTGGTGATTGGTGGAACGAGATGGGTCGCGTCTCTTTGACAGCAACACTTGGTCCGTGTACTCCAAACCAGAAAAAGAAAAGAGTGAAGGACAATGATCTGGATGGCCAGTCGCGTCGTCTGGGATTATGCGTGGCAACAGAAAGCAGACGTCTGAAGTGACATGAGCCTCCGTCTGGTGGGTTTACGAGCCATCGTCTGTGGGTTCTTGATGCGCCAAGGTCGCTATCAAACTTAAATCCAAGCACAATACCATCCTCTCAGTTCTGCTGAACGGATCAATGGTTGCATTGGTTGGTCCATGGAGGTGTCATTGCACATTCCTGTTGATCCGCGGGGATTGCGTACAGATTCTGAGGAAGCGCAGCAGGAATGTGGCAGACCGATGACTACCTGCACCTGAGTACCTAGTACCTACAACCCAGATACCGACCGTGAAAAACCGGATGAGATCTGACTCGGCATGTCCAAGCGATAATGCACATCGAACAAAGAAGTAACTGTGGCTCACGGGGTTCGATGAATTGGGCCATCTGACAGTGACCGGCAGTAAGACTGTCTTTGACCTACCTTAGACATGGTCTGTCTTGACAAGCGATAGCCCTAATTGAATGAGCCATTTCTTGCAGCCCTGATTTGGCTGGTGACAGTGTCAGATGCCAGACAGTAGACAGATATACCTTTCGGTGCCAAACTCTAAAAGAAATTCTGGTATGCCAATCTTCCAAGAATGGAGCTAGAAGATAGGGGTAAAGAAGGGGAAGTCAAAACATGTCCGTCTAACTTGACCAAAGAGGAAGTGGCAGTACATATCTGGATGTTTCTTTGACATTCTGAAATAACGGAGGGGCGTTGCGAGTATTCTTCTCCGCGGACTCTCTGACGACGGAAACAAACCCTTAGATATACGTAGTTATAGATGTAGTCAACAGCGACATCAAAAACCGATCAGTTCATGGTTACCTATCCAGAAAGGAAAGTTCATCAGGGATCGATACCAACGACCAGGATACCTCTGCTGTAAAAGATGACACCGGATGAGGCAGCACCAGCCATGACCCATCACAACACGCCGAAAGCCCAAATTTAGCAGCGGCGCGTCCCATAGGCTAAGAAGGCCTGGATTATCTTATCCGCTGCCTGTCCCCGCTTCTATTCGAGGCCTCGACCATCCACATGCCCATTGCCCGTGTCAGCAGCTCCCTTGATTGGCTGAAGGTGGTCCAGAAGGCGTGGGAGGTTCCCTGCTGAGAGCCTGAATGAGGTGGATTTCTCTGTTTGGCCTAGAGTCGAGGCCTTGAATCGACCCAGAGGATGGCTTATCCTCCTTGTGGCCGTAGGTTCAGTACCTTAATACTCCCACAGGCATGATTGTTAGTGTTGCTTGCATTAAAGAGATCTTGAAAGGAAATTTCACTCTAAAAGAAAAATGAAATAGGCGGGCAAAAGGCAAAAAAGAAAAGAAAGGAAAAGAAAAAATCAAAGG